CAATCTTAAATTGGTGGTTCAAAACTTGACGTAGAACTTCCAATGGATAGATCATGAAAAGAGTCTTCAAATATACAAACTGAACCTAATAAATAAACTCCAACATACTTTACACTTTCAAGATATGTTATGTCTGCATTTATACACGACAAAAGTTCTTAAGTTATATTGTGTATCTCCGAGTTTATTAAAAAATTATTAAAACTCGATGTAGGTTTCCAAATATTGTTTCACATGTAAAAAATTATTCTTGGATCTGCAGATAAAGCATCTTAATCTGTATTTGTATCATATATTGTAAAAATTGTTATTTTTTTAATCAGAAAATAAGAATATTTTGTGATTCATCTCTTTATTTTTGAGTCCCTTTAATTTTAGAAAACAATCTGTATTGATAATGACTTAAATCAAAATGTAATATGAATTTTGGAAATTGAAAGTGGCTACTCGTGGTCGATATGGTAAAAGTTTAAAAAAGTCCATTTACCAAACTAATGAGGCTGAAAGGGATTATCATTATTCATATTTCCTAAGGAACAATACAAATTAGGATGAAGTCTAGAGCATAAAGCATATTGAACGAAGTTAATTGATTAATAAAACAAAACCATAAATTAAATAATAAAGATTATTTTACTCATCTCTTTGCTAAATTAGGCAAATGAAAAATTTATCATAGTTAACTGTTCAAATTATGCTTTTCCTAAGCACGATTATTACAATAATTAATATGATGCTACGAAATCTATAGCAAATTTAAAGAGATAACATCCCTTTTGGGCTGCTATAAAAAGAAAAATTAATGTTTCTAGCTTTTTTAGCAACTCATATCAGTAGCAAAAAGAATTGAAGATTTAGCCATTAGTGCAGTTCATTTTGAATCAATAGGCTTATCTCATTTGATAATCGATAAAAAATTATTTAGATAATATATATAAATTCAAGATATCAAAAAGACTTTCTATACATGGTATCAAAATCTATTTAATAACTTAAAATTTATTAAATCAATTTTAGAATCTCAAAAAAAAATGGAATTTATAATTACAAAATTTTGTCAATCAAGATATTTATTCATCATAATTTAAAAAGTAAATTAAAATATGTTAAGCAACAGAAGATTGCATAGTTAATTAGAAAATAGCTGAAGTAAACAAAATATATAAATTAGAAATTGTCATAAAACAACAAAAATTAATATTTGGGTATTTTTGATAAATTTCAGCTCAAAAACACTTAATTAGATGAAATCTACGATTAAGGTCATTGCTTCTCCTTTTATGAGTTGAAAATCAGTCAGAAACGATAACTCATTTTATTGAAGGAAAATCTAAATTTGTGTTACTTAAGGTTAAAGAGATTTTTATTAATAGGTTTGCAAGCAAATGGTAATTTTTAAACTAAATAATATCAAATGGACAATATGAAGAAGAACTAATTTATCTTAGAAAAATTCAATATGATATCTGATTTCTAAAACCCTCAAGTTTATAAAGCCAATCAGAGGAATAAAAGATTTATATAAAATAACTCATCAGAAAGATTCAAAATTTATTCTACTATATGGAACAAAACTTTTAACTTTATTGAATATTCATAAATTACCTACTCTTTGCTTGTCTCTGTCTATTGATATTCAATTTAAGTTCAATTTTCTATTGATCTCTTATTGAAATTATTGACCTATTTGTCATTTTTAATAACTCATATTCAAATCAAAATTAGTTGATTAATTATTTATTATTATTTTAGTCCTTATTTTTGAATTATTGCTTACTAGCATAAAACTTTGTAATAATATTTAATTCTCTTTAAACTTATAAATTTCAGTTTGATTTTTTAAATTTAATTAGATCTTCCACCAATTTCATTTATGACATAACTAGCTTCTTCTTGAGATTCTCGAAGCTCTATTGGACTATCTGTATTAATGTATTCCTTTAAATTATAGACCACTCTATTAGTTTTTAATTTTCAATCAAGATTGATGACTTAAACTGTCTTTTGGAGCTTTTTTGAAAAGATTTCAAAGGTGTTATCTATCTCCACAATTCATCATTTCAATCTTTGATTAAATATGAAACATTTTTTAATTGAAACAGTTTCTTCTGAAAGCAATCCAATTTTCATTATAAAATCTTGTTAAATTGTTTAGAAGAAATTAAATTAGTTTATCATAAGTATCCAAAACTATTAGGAATATTTTTATCACTGAATAGTAATATTCTATAAATATTGTTAAGTACATTCTTTTTATTATTATATCTCAACAACTTATCGACTTTAGCATTAACAATTTTAAATTGAAAGAGATTATCTATTAGAGAATTTATGATTTATGTAAAGTTAACCATTTTAATTAGCATTACTTAGATATTATCTAATTATATATTTGGGTGTTGTTTAAATTTTTTGATTAGGTAAAATATTAAGCGGAGTTTAATTATTGAATTTCTGAATAATTGCAAAATTGAATTTTATACAATTCATTCATCTGATAATACACAAAAAAAACAAGGATTACTGATTAACAGAATAACAATATATTATTGCAAAAAATAAGTTAATTTTCGAATAATTAT